ACACACACACACACACACACACACACACACACACACACACACACACACACACACACACACACACATACACCTTTCTTAGGCATTCTGGTGTGATAAGAGGTGACAAGAACGCCACCGCTGTCAGTTCGCGGTTATATCCTGTAGCGCTTCCAGCCAATCAGTTAAGAAGTCTTTTGGACACCATCCTGGAAGACGAGACACAACCGCTCCATCTAATTAAACTTTAAGGCCTACATCTGCCAAATCCCGATCACGGACAAATACCGGACCAATTAAATCAGTTGGCGGACCGTTGCGAATATGTTCGATAAGTAAATAGATTACAGCGTATAAGAATCAGAAAAACGAAAACTTACTCGTCCCATCTCACCCATCACAGCTACAGGAGTCATGCCCAAATGTGCGGCCACTTTGTGTTCCACCAGATAGAAGATGTACTCATCATACAACAGACGTATTAGATGGAAACTACCGAAACTGGCCGCGGAGCGCAGGGTTAAATCACGAATCACCATTGAGCTGTAAAAGGACACCGAAAGAGCGAGTGTGTGAATGAATAAAAACATTCATGTACCAAAAGGAACAGTCGCCACAGAAACCATTACGACATAGGTCAATAACGATGTGACTTACCTATAAAAGGACCACTTCAGAATCAATTGATGAGCGGCTCGGGTATATGCCAAACTGTTACCTTCCAGTGGCTGCAAAATAGTTGAGACCACATTGTCTAGCCACTGAGCCCATTCCTCCAGTGAGGCATGTTTGTGCAGAATTCGTTTGAAATCCTGTTCCAACTGACCGACAGTTGCATCGCTGCACTGGCAAACCCAAGATGCTTGTTCCTAAATTGGTAAAAATGAATTGTGGTGTCAGTTACAAGAGTCAACCTATCGAATTTGAATGGTATTAATGTTCTTCACTTGAGCTTCTTTTTTTAGCACAAACACATTTTGTTAGACTTCATAATTGTTAGGATCATTTATAGACTATTGAGTTGGAGGAGGCTGATGGAAATTTTGATTGGGTCGGGTCATAACCTATCAAGGATACAACAACACTATAACCCAATTTGGCAAGCTATTCTGAGTCATTGTTTTAATCTTTTTATTACACATCTAGATGTGATGAACAGCAGACGGGGCGGACCCCATAGTCGCGAGGACCTGCTGTTCAATGATTGAAATCGGCAACCTAAGCCCCGGGACTTGGAATGATGAACCACATAAGGCCCCGATAGGTTAGGCGTGGTACTGAACCGGACGATAGCAGAGCTGCCTACCACCAAATTTAATTTTAGTGCCACACCTAAGAATGACAACTCACTGGGATACAGTATGACTGAAACACTTGGTAAAGATGAATAGAGAATGCCAGGATACAGAAACGCCTGTAGGGTTTGATAATAGTGAGATCCTTCCTTGCCTGATTAGGAGTACCGCTTTGACACAGATAACCATTATTCGAAAAATGCGCCGACATATTTGAAGCAGTCATAATAGAGGTGTTAGACAGTTCACCAAGCAGCAGCATTGAAATATGAATAGATAATGACCATTTAGATCAAACAGGGTTTGGTTGCTTGCTGTTTGTGAGTTCCATGTCAAGGTTATCCCCTTTCACGTAATCTCATACAAACAGATTTCGTGTGAAAAGCAAACTGTATCCAAAATCAACCAATTTTGAATGCACATCCAATTCTGACTTTCTGGTAAAAGATAAAACACATGCGTGCGTTGCGCATGCCTTGCGTTCCTTGCCACTTATATCATTGTTCGAGGCGTATGTTTCTTATATTCCGAGAGAAATCGTCGGCGTAACTCTGTTTACACTGAGAAAATAGAAAGAAGACCAAGGCTATCAGTTTACAGCACCATGTGATTTGATAGCTAAACCAAGTTGACTTTTCTGAATTACACGGACGTTGTTAGATTTCCCAATCCATTGCATCTGCTCAATTTGTGATCACAACAATGGCGTGAAATCCTAATTATGACGTCGAAATTCTCATTTTCAAACATCTTAGTGCGATAAATTGTACATTGTCACAAAAATTCATTGTCTAGCTATGATAACGAGCAACTTTGAGTTTTAATGTTGATGAGTAACAGTGAGGCTGAATAGTGGATGTTGAGTTAGAAACGAGATTAGTTGGATGAATAAGCTAAAAAAAAACGACTTTTCGAAAATGGGAAATACCTTTATTGAAACCTAAATAATAATTGCAACAACTTACTTGCACGTTATTGAAATCCACACGATTCAAATCCGCAAGCATTTGGTTGATCTGATTGCTATTTTTCAACACGGCACGTGCAGCCTGAGCCAAATGGTTCAAACTGGTGTAACGTCGCAAGGTCTGAGCGAGTGCGGACACGGCCGATAGTTTCAAGCTGACCAAAGTGGGTTCTAAACCCTGGGTAGCCTGACGCATCCAGCCCTGAGGGACAAGTGAAAACAAACGGGGAAGGTGGTTATTCCATGTGCTTTGTATGAAATATCTAGGACAGATGATGAATAAGGACAACCTATAGTGTCATCTCTTTATTAGACTAATCGCGACTATATATAAACCAAAGCTAACCCCGTAATGTCTATTCATTAGGTCACGATCTGGCGCCGTTTCACTTCTTCCAGTTCAACGTAACCGAGTCAACGGCGACTTTTGGTGGTGGGCAGGTCTGCCATCATCCGGTTCAATACCCCACCTAACCCAGCGGGGCTTGATGTGGTTCTCCACCCCAAGTCCCGGGGTTTGAGTTACCGGTTTCCGTGACTGAACAGGGGTCCTCGTGACTGCGGGGTTGATAGCATCTGTTGTTCATCACACCAAGGTGTGTAATAATAAAGTATGGTGCGGTTCGTCCATTTAGAGAACGGCTCACAGCACCTAAAAAACCACGACGAACCTCAAACTTCCTCATCGGTGTCCGCAATAGACATGAGAAATGCTTCAAAGAGTGAAGAAAGTGGGTTCAGTTCAGTTCTTATAACCATTAACCAGAGGTGAGAGATCAAGTCTCGCAGATGTGAAGTTAAATACCACAAACTGAGGCGACGCACACCGTTGCATCGGTTTCAGTTTTTTTGTAACTATTGGTCATGCACCTTCGTGAGGCGGTTTTGATCGTTGTCAGATGTTGCAAGTTGCGATCTACCCTTGCTATGTGTTATTTGATCTCTTTCCCAAATCCAAATATTGACGAACTCCTGAGGCGCTCAAAGTTTCTGACTAACTCTAGCTGGCCATCAGGAAAGATGAGGCATATACTCCTATCGATCGTTTACGAGAACTGCATTTCGACAGTGGAAAACATTGAACACATCTGAGGGTTACACTCCACCTAGATGAATGGATCTTTTCGAGTATGCGAAACCATAAATCTAGGAGAACAGTCGTCTTGCGGAAGCAAAAAAACATCGAACAGTTGAACGAACTAACGGTAATGAATTCAAGAGCAGTTAGCAATGTTACAGACCGAATCGCAGAATAGGTTCCCAGGTTCAGATAAATAGATGACCCAAAGAGGAATTGCGAAGGAACTCAGTGTCTCATACGACGATAAATTAGATTGGGTAACCGACTAACTCGGTCCCTAAGGTGAAACGTCTGAGTTTCCGTGAATTTCCTTACCAGGAACCTGTCTCACCAAGTGTCCTAAACGAAATTATGTATGGCGTGTTTCAATTCTGGCTGAATTTCCCATTTTCACTGAAGTAGTGCCTTATAATTGCATCCGTCAGAGGGGGAGCTACTAAACGCTTACAATCACAGGTAAATCAAGGCCTTGAAATGAGATGAAACGCAGTTACAGAATACCGGAAAGTGTCTAAAATGCATGCAAGGACAATGACAAGTATAACATGACTTACTTCCAAAGATTTTGCGAAATTTCGAATGGCTTGCGTGAGTGTAGGTGGTATCGGTCGGAGCACATTGGGAATGAGGACCTCGGCCAACGACTGGTAAAATGTATGGTCATATAGACGGACAAACTGGAGCACGGCCGAATCTGACACCAGTATGTGGAGTCGTTCTTGAGACAAACTTTGTTTTAGTCGCGAATCCTGTGCCGATGTGAATGAGGGAAAAAGGAATCGTTGGCTTAACGCAACGTTCCGGTACCAACAACGAACGATCAACGAATAGAACATAATTAACGAAATTCAGTGCACTGTCGTGTGATCGAAGCAAGAAGGTAAGTACCTCCTTAGAGTGTGTCCAAGACAGAGCACTCGTTTTATCATTCTTCCCCAATTGTATGGCGGAGCCTAATGTTTTATTTTCGGCATCATACTAGGCTCATATTTTACAAACGTTACGATATTTAACTGAAGCATGTTGATAAAAACATGACATGGCGAGTAGATCCATTTCCGGTGATCCAGCAAGAAAACAAAGCATGGTCTCGCAAGAAGTGAAGTAGAGACTAACATAAAACCGAGAGAATAAATAATCTGCCCAAATCTGGAATTTAAATATTAATTAAAACTTATACAGGTATTAACTACGATGGAAGGAGGGAAAATTTCAACAATCGGATGATGATCTGTTTGGATCGATGGATGGCCTCACAGACCAATCTTTCCTGCTTCTATGGGCTTTTAATCTCAAGTACTTGGTATACTGTATTTTGGATTGATTTTTAACACCAATCATAGATCTCACCAAACAGCCTTCGGGGAACGAAATTCGACTTTTTTCATTGACGGGCACACACCCCTGGGGACGAAATCTAATGGAAATATGAAAAGTGGACGAATGGCGTACTTGAACCTCTTCCGTGCGCCAGAACGCTTTCCATACAGTTTCGATTGCAGTGAAATCCAGATTGACTACCGCGTCGAGCATATAACTGGCTGACAGTGCGTACAGACGACAAAAAGTGACAATATCCGCATAGAATGAGGCATCCAACGAGGTGTTGCCAATTTTGCCCTTCATTTTCGTTGTCATTCCCGTATCACTTGTGAAATTGGAAAGATCGGCTGAATGGAACAAACGGGTGCAGAAAAAAAACATCATCATGATTATCATTGTGCAGTGAACTTTGCCGATCGCTGCCAAGTCCACAATGTACGGAATGTATGAGATTCGCATCAACCATGTAGAGATTTGTGGAAAACAAGAAATCCAAAAGCTCTGACTGCGATCCGCGTTCGGACACATTTAAAATGAACATGACTATATGCAAATAGATAGGAACACTCACTTTCTCCGGGGACTGGAAGACCAGCCGAACGACAGATCTCATCCAGATTGGGTAATGCGGAACTGGCCTCTCCGAGGAATTGAGCATGTTGATGCTGCCCACTAGATCCCGTGTTAATGGTTGAACCGGTGGTAGCACATGTGGATGTTAGATTATTCGTTGTGGATCGGTTGGATAGCTGTGAATTCGGATTTGTTTCTGTGTTTCCAGAATCGTAGGATTTTTCGGAACGCGCAGTTGTCGTATACTCAGTACTGTGCACTTGTTGTGAACTCATGTGGATAGAGCTGGTAGAATTGGCGTTTAGATGGCTTCCTAAAGAGCTGTGTGTGGTTCCCATCCCTGTGGAACCACCGTTCGAGGATTTTAAACGACCGGATGAGGAATTGGCGAAACATTTCCATTCGGCGGCCGCCTCCATGGTCTGTCTGTGGTAATTTGGATAATGTCGAAGAGAAAACCCGGCGTCCTCGACAAAATGATTCAACGGAGAATTGGGCTTGATACGAATCCCATAGTAGTGATACTTGGAATTTCCCCGTGTGCCCAATCGACGAGTTCGTAACCCGAAGAAAACGGAACGGATCAGCTTGCCAAACGAGGCCGGATTCATCGGCTCCAATTTGTTCTCGTTGCAGTGTTGCAGGTAGTGAAAATACAATGTGCTACGCGGTAAGCTTACCCCTTCTGCTGTCTCATAGTTCTCCACAAGCCACTGAACCTGAGAGAGGCGGGTCGAAAGAGGTGGAAAACACCGAAAGAACAATTTTGATGCAGATCACTTTGTGCAAAAGAAAGCAATGAATGAACCGTCACGAGAATTCAAGTGATCCGTGGGACGTACAGGGAGGAAATCACGTATGCGTGACACAATACGAGTGATTTGACAAACTCGAGCAACCAACAAGATAAACAAAGCACGAAACAACCGAGTTAACCGGCCGTTCAGGATATTCGATTGGTAACAATACACCATAGTTCTTAAGATACAGGAGTGTGAACACCGAGATGCGATACCTACGTCTCGATTAGCATTCAAACAGGAAAAAGGGCAATTTTGAAGGCATGCTATGGGTAGCAGTTATTTGATTGGATTGGCTTAGAACGGACCTAAAGAAACCGGGAGGGAGGGAGTTTTGTCTGTGCTCGTATCTCTCAGGGAAGCCTAGACAGTTCTTTCAGAGCCAGTCAATTGAATAATGATATGATTCGGTGTTTTCCAGGTGGGCTAGATGCTACTAACCGCTTTCAGGGAAATTTTGTCCAGTCATTCACATACCACATAATATGAAATTTTCTATAAAGACGATCAAGTCACGTTTGTTGCAACCATTAAACATGCATCTTCATGCGGTGGTTTCGGTTGTTGACTATTGGATACATTTGGGATTGTGTTCTCCTAGGTCGGTGTAAAGGACCGATGGAGCAGGAGATAAGAACAAAACCAACAAAACTGTTTTTTTTCAAACGATTTTTTTTCTACGTGAGAATGATTTGCCTTTACGGATGAAGACGATATGAATACCACAAGTGGAGTATTGAGGATGAGCCTGAAGCCCTTGCACAACCGAGTGTTACACGAAAACGATGGTCTTACATAGTGACAAGCCTGATTTACGCGCGGTGTGATATTCTCTATGGACTAATGAGATTTTGCTGAAGAGATCGCGCGCAATCTCTGCACAATAAGGAACAGGCACACAATCACTGGACGGATCACCTCGACTAAAAATCCAGCTGGCCTGGTGCTGGCCAGACTACCTCGACCGTGATGATCAAAGCGGCTCACTATCTTGTACAATTTACGCATTTGAAATTGCTTTGTGTACACTGTACGTTTGGCAGTAATCAGTTTGTTTTTACAACCATTAACCATGCACCTGCGTGCGCCGGTTTTGGTTGCTGTATTTTGGCTGCCCATTTGGATAAAAAAGCAGAATGAAGATTGGAATGTTGAGAGCAAATTCAAGTGGAAGATGGAGAATTCATGTAGACTGATGTTGCAAGAATAATGAGTAAATGCATGAGCGCCACTGTTTGCGACACCCAGCCATATGGCTCAGTGCCTCTGACCATCGGTGACCATGATCTCGGGGTCCCCAGCCAGAGAGGTTAACGGGACCTATGCGACCCAGTATCCTGGTTAGAGTTTTGATACCCTCATCCCAAGGATCAGCGAAGCTTACTCCGCTGCACTTTGCGGTATGATGATGACGACGATAATAAGTGTGGTGCTACGATTTGAAGAAAACTATCAGCCAGTGGACTGACTAGCTGACCACTTCATCATTATGATCTAATATCTCTTGTTCGGCATACCACGAATGTACAGTACAAAGGTAAATTACTTCGACTAAGAAACTAACCAAAGCGTTATCCTGGTTGGATGGAAGAGAAGTGACTTACTGTAACAGGACTGGCTTTGGCGGTATGGGAAATAGACGACGCGTCCTCCTCCAACTGGCCACCTTGAACGAGATATGTGGCTCCTTGGTGAGTAACGAGTTGCGCACCCAGATTGTTCACATGCACCGGTACGCCAGAAGTAACGCCGCTTCCTGTTGTTCCAGTGAAAGCGGAAGCCAACACCTGAGAATGCAAACACACGTGCGTGAGAAGGGAACAACGAAATCAGTAATTACAAGGATAGAGCAAGAAATGTCGTTTTAATGATTATACGATGGGAAAGACACATTTAAGATCATAACATAGAACAGGGTTTGTATTGTTATACACGGGGCAAACCCGAGTAACGAGGATCTACTGTTCACTCATAAAAACTGAGAACCTAAGCACTAGGACTTGAAGTAGTGATCTGCATGAGATCCCATTGGGATAAACTTGGTGATTAGCCGGATGACAGCGAAGGTATCTAATACCAAGGTTCAGTTATCGTGTCTGCGTTCGAACATAGGACCTTAGGACCCAAAACACGCCAGTAACTAAAACCGCTGGTCACCACCTTAATTTCGTGAATTATACTGACCATACATAAGCAAAAAGTATTTAATCCAAGATCAGATTACAAAGTAGCAACATAACACACTTCGTGTGTATATATATATATATATACATATATATATATATATATATATATATATATATATATATATATATATATATATA